CCTAACCCTAACCCTAACCCTTACCCGTAACCCTAATACCTAATGGCCTTAACCCTAACCCTAACCCTTACCCTAACCCTACCCCTAACGCCCTAACCCTAACCCTAACCCTAACCCTCACACTAACCCCTAATCCTAACCCTAACCCTAACCCTAACCCTCACACTAACCCCTAATCCTAACCCTAACCCTAACCCTAACCCTCACACTAACCCCTAATCCTAACCCTAACCCTAACCCTAACCCTCACACTAACCCCTAATCCTAACCCTAACCCTAACCCTAACCCTCACACTAACCCCTAATCCTAACCCTAACCCTAACCCTAACCCTCACACTAACCCCTAATCCTAACCCTAACCCTAACCCTAACCCTCACACTAACCCCTAATCCTAACCCTAACCCTAACCCTAACCCTCACACTAACCCCTAATCCTAACCCTAACCCTAACCCTAACCCTCACACTAACCCCTAATCCTAACCCTAACCCTAACCCTAACCCTCACACTAACCCCTAATCCTAACCCTAACCCTAACCCTAACCCTCACACTAACCCCTAATCCTAACCCTAACCCTAACCCTAACCCTCACACTAACCCCTAATCCTAACCCTAACCCTAACCCTAACCCTAACCTCTAACCCTAACCCTAAACGTAACCCTAACCCGTAACCTTAACCCTAACCCTAACCCTATAATTACTCCCTAACCATAACCGTAACCCTAAAACATAACCCTAATACTAAAACTAACCCTAAAACTAACCAAAGCCCTAGGCCTTGCCCTGGACGTAGCCCGAGCCATAACCCTAACCCTAAGCCTAACACTAACCCCTAATGCTAAACCTAACCCTAACCGTAAACCTAACCCTAACTCTAACCCTAACCCTAACCCTAACCCTAAGCCTAACACTAACCCCTAATGCTAAACCTAACCCTAACCGTAAACCTAACCCTAACTCTAACCCTAACCCTAACCCTAACCCTAAGCCTAACACTAACCCCTAATGCTAAACCTAACCCTAACCGTAAACCTAACCCTAACTCTAACCCTAACCCTAACCCTAACACTAAACATAGCCCAAGCCCTAGCGCAAACCCTAGCCCTAGTCCGAACCGTAAAACTAACCCTAACCCTTACCCTAATCCTAACCCTAAACCCTATCCCTAATCCTAACCCTAACCCTAACCCTAACCCTAACCCCTAACCCTAACCCTAACCCGAACGATAACCCTAACCCTAAGCCCTAACACTAAACCTAACCCTAATCCCTAACCTTAACCCTAACCCTAACCCTATCCCCTTACCCTATCCCTAACCCAAACCCTAACACTAATCCTAAGACCTAACCCTAACCTTAACCCTAACCCTAATCTCTAACGCTAATCCCTAACACTAATTCTAACCCCAACCCTAATCCTAGCAGTAACCCTTACCGTAGCCCTAGCCCTAGCCCTAGCGCTAGGCCTAGCCCTCGGCCTAGCCCTAGCCCTCGGTCTAGCCCTAGCCCGAGCCCGAGCCCTAGCCCTAATCCCTACCTTAATCCTAACCCTAACCAAAACCCCTCCCTAACCGTAACCCTAACCCTAACCCTAACCCTAACCCTAACCCTAACCCCTAACCCTAACCCTAACCCTAACCCTTACCCCTAAATGTAACCCTAACCCTAACCGTAACCCTAATCCCTAACCCTAACCGTAACCCTAACTCTAACCCTAACCCTAACCCTAACCCTAAACCCTAAACCTATTCCTAACCCTAACCGTAACCATAACCCTAACACAACCCTAACCCCTAAACCCTAACCCTAACCCTAACCCTAAGCCCTAACCCTAACCCTAACCCTAACCCTCTGCCCCTGCTCCACGGACTGAGCTGAGCAGCCACAAGGGGGCAGAGCTTTGGGAGGCAGCTTTGCATAGCAGCACTTGCCATCATGTTCACCTTGACAAGGAATGCCATTGCAGGGACATCCCAGCGGGGCTCCTTCCACCTGAGCAGCTCGACCAGGTACTGTGTGATCCAGTAACGCAAGCCCCTCGGGATACCAGGCATCTGTCTGGCAGGGGGAAGAAGGCACCGTCAGCACTAAGCAGGGCAGGCAAACCTCTTTCTGGACTGACTCACACAGGCCTGGTCTTTCCCCACCACCCCTCACCAGGAGAAAGGCAGTGCCCAACACCAGCAGTCTCCTTTTGGGAAGGAAACTGGAAAATCACTCTTCCTGCCCTGAAGCCATCTCTTCTGAGGAGACCCCTTCCCTGGCCACAGAGGACTCAAGTCCCCCAGGTTCTGCACCTGGCTGTCAGTGTACCCCGCCCTGTCCTGGCAGGTGGGGTTGTCTGCAGACAGACTCGTAGCCCAGCCCAGGCCCCAAAGGAGGCAAGGCTGGTGCTTTGGGAGGTGGCTGCTCCTGTGCAGCTGTGCAGCCACCTCTCCCAGGCTTTTCCAGTCTGCTGGGCTATCCCTCAGTGACAAGTCTCTCTCATCCACAACCACAGGTGTGGGGCACCCCATCTACAGGGGAGGAATGGCAAAGGGAGCAGAGTGTGTCTCAGCCACGCTTATGATCGACTTCAAACACCTCAAACATATGCAAAATGCTTTTATGGTGTTCTGGTTGCAGCAGGGATGGGGTTAATTTCCCCCAGGAGCCGGCAGGGGGCAGGTATTCCATCCCACTTGCCCCCTGCCCGGGCTATAAGAGGAGCTAGCCGGGGAGAGGAGAGCAGGCACCACTTGGGGGTGGGCTGCGGTAGTGCAGGTCTGGTTGGTGTGCTTTGCGGCGGTACTGTAATCGCATTTTCATCTTTCCTGTGCTGTTCTGTTAAATTGCATTATTTTAACCCACGAGTTTTGCCCTGTCGATTCCTTTTTTCCACAGCTGTGGGAGTTGCGTGAGCGGCTGTGTGGTGCTTTGTTGCTGGCTGAGGCCAAATCACAACACACAGTCAGCACTGCAAATCTGCGTGCAGAGCAAAGCCCAGGACACGCTGGAAGCCCTGGCCCCAGCTCCAGGGCTATGGGAGGGATGGGATGTGTGGGATGGAGCACCTGTTGGGGTTGGGGCTGGTGGGAAGGTAGCCTTCCTGCTGGCATCCCTTCTAGAAGATACTGACCTCCTCTGGCATCTGCTCTGTGCTGATGAAAATTTGGAAGAGCAGAGCTGGGAAGAGGTAGGTGAAATGCACCTTCAAGCGCCTTGGGTGCCTGGGCAGCTGGAGGATCTCCTGCAGTGCCCTGGTTGCCTGTAGAAAACAAAACACCCAGAGACAGTGCCCAGTGCCCTGTGGCAGGGCCTGAGTGTGGGATGGTGAGGCTCAGGTGCTGCCCTGGGCCATGGGAGATGCAGAGGGAACACCTGGCCTGGCTGCTCCTAAACCTGCCCCTAACCCAGGTTTCCAGCCCACTGTGTGAGGCAGGGAGGTGCCGTGACAGGGGAGGATGGAGAGCCACCTGGAGGGGCGACCCTGGGGGTGAGCAAAGGCCTGGTCCAGAAACTCACAGCCAGGTCAAAGATGTCAATGTTGTCCCCATCGGAGGTGGACATGCTGTGCAGTGGCCAGTCCTCCAGCATGCAGAGCAGCTTTGCCAGCACCCTCTCTGCAGTCCTACTTGCGGAGACCATCACCTTCCACATGGTTACAGCAGCTCTGCAAGCCCAGAGCTCTGTGTCAGCGGGTCTCAGCCACAGCACCATGGCCTGGGCAACCCCAGGGGCCCAGGCTGCCTGCCAGCCCTGTCTCTGCCCACTGCCCCTCACCAGCAGCACCCAGCGGGCCTGCCCCTGCGGGCAGCAACTGGCTGAGCAATGGTGCCTTGGGGGGCAGTGACGGAGCAAGGCAGTGGGCTCTGGGGCTGACAGGCCAGAGCTGGGAAATGGAGGGGCCAGAGGTACAGTGCAGGAGGGTCACCACCACATCGTGGGGGTGTGCATGGGTCAGCTCCAAAAAGGTGTTCTCCAGCCTGTGCTTGGCAGACACACCTGTGTTGGATGTGACCCAGCAGTAAATGCACCTCACAATCCTGGGCACCTGGAGGAGTTGCAGCTGAAAGTTGGAGTGCCACCAGAGTGAGCCATTTCCTCAGCTTCCATCAAGAAGTGCTTCCCTTCCCACCACACTGTGCCAGTGTAAACCGGTGTAAATGGCTGTTGGGTGCTCAGCAGACCTGGCTTCAGGGGGCACATGATCCTCGGGGGGCTCAAGGCCTGGCCACAGCCTACTTACATGTTCCAAATTGGAGATGTCACTTTCCACAAGCACATCCAACATAGCAGCACAAGCTTCCGCATTATAGGAGTCAGAGTCTGCTATGCCCTCGATGGCCATGATGGTGGTGTCTTCACGCTCAGTGGGCTTGAGGGATTCCCAGGAGAAGGGAAGGCAGGGAAGAGAAGGATGTCACACTGAGTACCCTGATGGTGGTGCTCAGTTGAACAGCAAGAGCTGGCCCAGCCCAGGCGTGGATGGCTGTGGGTACATGTGCTCCACTGTGGAAGAAGGCACAAGTGTGTTCCTGCTCTTATGGCAGGTCCCAGTCTGGATCTGGCAAAGACTGAGCGCAGGCAGGGCTGAGGGGCTGCAGCGGAGGCTGGAGAACACAGCCAAGCCCTGCACTTCCCAGGCAGGACCTGCCCTAGGACAGGGGCTGGTAGGGATACTGACCCCTGTCTCTCTGGCCATAGGTTGGGGCTGGGGGTGCCCAGCGCCTGGAGGGGATGGGATGGGATGGGATGGGATGGGATGGGATGGGATGGGATGGGATGGGGCCAAGCTGGCTGCAGCCAATAGCCCTGTGGCCCAGCTCAGCGGCTCACCTGCCCGCAGCAGCTGACCTCCTCTACATCATCAGGTAGAGCCATGCTGGGACAGCCCCAGCACCTTTCTCCTCCTCCTCCTCCACCCTGAACCAGTCAAGCCTGGGCACACCGCCCTTGCCTCAATGGCTCCTGTTGCAGGGATGGGAGACACCTCAGAAAAGTGCTGCAGACGTAGGTCAGCAGGGAACAAGGTGGCTGTGCAGGGTCTCCTCACAGCCCTACTCCATCCTGTCCTGTCCTGTTGCATCCTCTGGGTACTGTGGGATGGCTGCATCACTGCCAGTGCCCATATCATGGCAGTTCACAAAAGGCCCTGTGACACACTGCCACGTGCCTATGCCCTGGAGCATCCCTCAGCCTGGCAAACCTGCCCTGCAGCAGCACAGCACTGAAGGAGCTCTGTAGGTGCCAGCTAAAAAGGCACCTTGGACCCCTCAACAATCCAGCCAACAACAAACGGGCAGGAAACAAATGGTGGTTCATTGCTGGGAGAGTATTTGTGGACAGCTCCCAGGACAAGTTTTTCAGGGATCCACACACAGGCTGCCAAGTTTGCACAAATGGGAGTCAGTACTGAAGAGGATGCAGAGGATGGCCAACTTGTTTGAAAGCAAACCAAATGCATAAAATGGGTGTTTTTCTTTGGAGTTGTTCCCAGCATAATATACTGTTTGATTAAATGAATAGCAGGCTGCCTGTGGACTAACAAGCTGCACCTGCAGTGTCATTGGTGATCACCCGAGGCCAGCACTGAAGCAGACCATTCCTCCACTGCCAGCTGAAGTAGGCTGATTTGCTTGCTTTTCATGTCACTGATCCCACAAGTTCATTTTTTGTAAGTACTCCCTGGAGCTGTGATTCTCGCATCTTCCTTTCTCAGGAAAGAAAGGATCAAAGCACCCAAATCCCATAGGCTTTTTCTCCAAAAATCAAAACTGCATGTACCTTTCACTTTTGTGTCTCAGTTCCCAGCTTCTAAGGTGCAGGGTCTCAGCTAAAATGACCAATATTCAATGTGCTTTGTTGACACTTCCTTCCTTGGTTGATATTCTCCAAACTGGAAAAGATGTAAAGGGAGATAATGAGAACCAGTTGGTGAATATAGCTGGAGAGCTTCCACTGCTGCCCCAGTGCCAACAGTCTGCATGCAAGCCTTCCAGCAGATGAGGCTTTAATCTCATATGTATTTACTTTCTGCAGCTCAAATGACTCAAGAAGACTGATATTTATTTTTATGTTTTAAAAGGAGGAAAAAAATTAATATTCAGGATCTTGCATTTTTTCTTTATTCAATATTGAACCTAACAGCTAGAAATAGTTTCTGTTAATTTTAATAAGACTTAAAAGCCAGTTCCTGGAGAGGAGGTTGCTGTGAACATACATTTATTGATGGAGAGATCATGCTTATACAGACATGTCTGAACTATGGGCATGCATTGTTTTGAGTATGGCTCCAGCCATGTTCTTTACCTGGATTTTCTGTCCAATCCTTTCTCAAGCCCCTGTTTCTTCATCCTCCAGGGTTCTCCCCTTTGCCCCGATGGGTTAGACTGCAATCTCCCCACAGGCCTCTCATCCTACAGCCCAAAGAGACACGGAGACAAAGTACAGCAGGTCAAAGTCACCTCATTTTTAGCACAGTAAAAGCACAGGCCTGTACCTCCTCAGCAAGGCATCAGCACTGATGATAAAGCTAAAAGTAGGGATACTTTGGGCACAATTGCACATGATGTGGCAGAAGAGTCGGGGAAGAGTGGCCATAAGGGCATTATATTGACTTCCCAGCCTCACAGCAACACTTAGCAGCTTCAGGTGCAGCCTGTCATCTTGGCTGCATTTAATTCATAGAATCATAGAATGGTTTAGGCTGGAAAGGACCTTGAAGATCATTGAGTTCCAACCCCCCTGCCATAGGCAGGGACACC